CCGCAATCTTCAGGGGGTGCGAACAAGATGATGACACAATCGAGAATATCGTTTACGATTGCCCGAGGCTCTCATTTGTATTCGGGGAGAATTAGCTTAGACCAACCAATATAAGATAAGCACCTCTTGGAGACGTTGTCAACTACATTAAATCTGTAGACTGGCTCACGAGGCCTAAGTTTAACCCACCCACCACAGGTTACAGATAAAGATGGTCTACTTCATGATATAAATCTAGATACCTAATAATTAAATTGATTTTACACCGTTCTCTATTTTCCTTTACTCATGCTCCCATCTCTTTCTGCTTTACCGGTAGAGTATTGTTTTTTCCTAAAAAAATACATTTTGTTGTTGAGTATTTTTACCAGCAGTAAACATTTTCTAAGGATCACTCTTTAGTAATTTCGATATATATTTGGATTTTTTTGAAAGTTAGTAGTTTTCGATTATATTATATTCACTTTTAAAACCAGGCGCATCATTATCTTCTGACCTTATTGGGACGCTCTGTATATAAAAGTTTTTAAGCGTTATTCTCTGAAACGGCAACTAAACAAAACATTTTCTAATAACAGGGATTTTTTAGCAATAAACTAATTCACTAACGACATTAAACATTTACATTATTAAATCAATACAAGGGTGTAATAAAAACGAAGCACGTTTCCGTTACGCCCTAGTACAATATATAAGTTTATAAATCGTTTTATAGTGTTTAGAAAAGTAGGAATTCTAAGACAGATTATCTCTTGAGTACATTTATTACAATAAATCATTGTTTAAGCTAATCGAGTGGGTTTTACAACAAGAAACTTTAATCGCTTGCAATAAACTGGCCGCAATTTGTCTGCAATTTGTAGATATTGGTTATTTAAAAAATGCGTTCGCGATTTACTCAGAAAGCCGTTAAAAATGGGTATGCAATTAATGTTGCTTGGCGTAAGCCGTTTTTAAGAAATGCACATGCGTTGCAGCTTTCTACAACAGATATCAGATTATAATCAAACTGTTTTTATTTCTGTTATTTAATGCAGTTATCAATCTTTTAAGCAACCGAAAAAATAATTCTTAAGTTTCGTATTTTTAATTAAAAAATGAAAAATAATTTGTTTGAAAGTAACATTTGAATGATAGATAATTCAATTCAACATATTTATTGTTTCTTTAATTATGCAAATTCATAACAAGAGTACAAAAACTAGATCACATCAAAAATAATTAAGTTGGATACAAAAAAGTGTACAGTTTTGTTATGGAAATGCATTTAAAATAACCATTTAATTTATTCAAAATCAAATCGAGGAATTTTATAAATTTCTATAAAATAAGGACAAAACATTTTTGCTTGACTTAATGTTAGACTGTTAAATAAAATGATCGGACTATTCATATTATTAAAAAATCACTGTCCAGTGGGCGTTAAATTACAAGTATTAAAAGTAATTTTAATAAACCGACTTCAAAATCGTGCAAATGCCATCATCACATCTTAATAAAATTTATATGGAACCACCCCTGAGGTACCCCTTACTAACAAAAAAGAATCATAGAAATCGGACAAGGTGGTAAAGAATTATAGCTAAACATAAAAATGAAGAGTTTGAGGATTTTATCATGTACCCAATTTTTAGATTTTGACCAAATTTATACGGGACTACCCCTGAGATACCCCCTTACTAACAAAAAATAATCATAGAAATCGGAAAAGGTGGTAAAGAATTATCGCTAAACATACATAAAAAATGAAGAGTTTGAGCATTTTGTCATGGACCCAATAATTAAATTTTGACCAAATTTATATTGGATCACCCCTGAAGTACCCCCTTTATAACAAAAAAAGAATTATTGAAATTGGAGAGAATTATTGCTGAACATACATAACAAAATATACCAACGAATTGAGAACCTTTTTTGAAGTCGGTTATAAATAAACTTCTTCTCAAAATGGAGTGGGTTTTCAATTAGTCGGAATATACAATTTTTGTTTATGTATGCTCAGATATAATTCTATACCACGTTGTCCGACTTTTTGTTAGAAAGGGGCTACTTCAGGGGTAATCCAATATAAATTTGGTGGGGATCTAATATTGTGTCCATGAGAAAATCCCCAAACTCTTCATTTTTTTATGAATGTTCAGCGATAATTCTTTACTACCTTGTCCTATTTCTATGATTATTTTTTTTAGTAAAGGGGTTTCTCAGGGGTGGTACTATATAGGGTCTCATTAGTGCGTAATTGTACAATATTTCAATTTTTGTTTGTAATAAAAGTTATATGGATTTGAAAAATACATATTTCAAAAATATATTTGGTTATACAGGGTGTTGTGTTTTTGCCTGCCAAATAAAAACGTATGTTTTTTAAATAGAACATCCTGTATTTTATTTTATTTTTAGAATGATTTGGTAATACTATATTTAACCCTAGAATGTTTTTAAGAAATATTACAGCGTTGCCAAGTATTATTTTTTTAATTAGGGAATGATTCAGACCACAAATTAAATTTAAATTTCACACCGATTTTAATGGTTATTTAACGAACAAGTGTATTAATAAGGGCGATTAACAATCGAGATCATTTAACGTTAATGTTCGAGATTGTTAATCGCCATTTTAATTCACGAGTTCGTTACAGAACTTTTCCGTCGACCGTACTTTTCAAAAATAAAGATATCTTACTTTTAAGAAATTAAATAATGACATATACAATGACACAGTATTAACACACCTTCTTGATTTCAAATGTATATGTATGTTTGGTTGCCTACACCATAGGTAACTGTCAATATAAATGTACGTTGGGTTGCATATAATAAAATCGTTGATTAATAGAAAACCATTCATTAATAGGGGTCATTAATCAACGATTTTGAGTGCGTTAAAATACATTATAAATGGTCGGTCGACGGAAAAATTATTTAATATACAGACTTATAAGATTAAGTTAACGAATAGTGGTAATTGAACTGGATTATTTTATACAGAGTGTTTTGAAACCTGTCTTAAATATGGCTAATTTCAAGTTCAATTTAGTCAATTTCTTCAAATGCAACAGCCTGTATATTATTTTAACTTAAAATTCCTTATAACGATACTAACATCTTAACCAATAACACATATACAGAGTATCCATTCAGTTCGTAATTGATCGATAGATGTTTTATTATTGGAAATACGAAAAAACAAAATAATATAAAAGTTGTATGACCACGTTTAATAAATTTTCTTAAATATACAGGGTGGTCCATAAACGAGGGGCTGACTAAACTTATACATTTTTAAAGCAAAACACCCTACAGGTACATATTTGATTGTTTTCACATCGTCAAACAATTTTATAAAATAACATGAAAACTACTACGTTTTTCATGAATATATTACAATAAATAACGTACAGGGTGATTCTAAGAGTAATTTTGAAGTGTATATAAAAGTTAGCTAATGTAAAACAATTGTTTATTAAATATCGACATAACTAGTGAACTTATTAAATTATCTACTACGTCGATTCTGCTTATAACAGAATTTATTACAAAATAGTTTACAAACTTTAAAATTATCGTATAAAACGACAATTATCTTACATCTGGCAACACTGCTTGATGCATTTTCCATATTTCATCGAGAAAGACATCTTTTGTATGTAGGTACACCAATGATGGCTTATCGGTCATCGATCATCACTCATCGTGGCATCTAGGCATCTTCGACATGTACGTACTCAGAGTGCCTATAATGGCATAGGTACATGCCGAGAAGATGCCTGGATGAGCGATGATAGATAACCGATGTTAAGTGGATATCAATTGATGTGTCACAAATATACTGATTTAAATGAGATTATTGCTGTATGTAAGCATCGTCTATCGGTCATCGATCATCGTTCATCGGGGCATTTTCAGCATGTACGCACCCTTAGATGTATTATTTTAAATAAGATTTTTAACTGCATAGTGCTCTAAAATATGTAATTTTTTAGTTAAATTAATTTAAGATTTTGCTAATATAAGAATTGTACAAATTTCTAATAACGTTTAAAAAGAGTCATACAATATTTTCTCAGAGTAGATTTATTTACTGAATGAAATGTTCTCTTGAAATCAATGAAAACACCAAATAGTTGACCAATAAGGGTGGGGACGAAAAAAATAATTCCATTTGAATTTGAGACTTATAGGTTTCATATTTATTTTTTAGACCCTTCCTGAACGATTTTTATTAATAGTTTAAAAAGGACTCCCACAAAATAGCTATGAATGAAATAAGTAACAAAATCTTCAGGAAAGACTATTACTAATAAAGCTAATATAATTATTCAAAATTAAAGTCGCTATGTTTTATCCTCATAATATAACGCTATATTAATTTAAGTAAAGAAAAAATAAAATTAAAAGCCCCTTTATATATCTGTTTAGTTCTGTATACACATCCTCGGTTAGTATCTCACTTGTGGAAAGCTTATGGACTCAACAATAAAGTCTTCTACTTCTAGTAACAAAATTAACCATTTTGTTTAAACGTGTTTAACCTATTTATATCATTTGTCACTTTTAAAAATTTGTAAATAAAATTCGAATCGTTAAGAATTATTTTTTCAGTAACAAGTTATTTCATTTTGTCTTTTCCATTAAAACCAAATTTGTGTCTAGTACTTTTCTCAACAAAATATTGATCAAAGAAATAAAGCATTATTTATTAAGAATTCGATGTAACAGATGTGTTTATTTAAAGGTTAATAGATAGATGAATTTGATATTTTTTTATATAATATAAAATTTGTATTGATGTATTTAACGCATTATTAAAATTTTTGAATTTGCGCAACAATTGTGTATTTCTTATTTACAATAGTGGGTCCCCATTTTAAAATCTAAAATAAAAATAGAAATGTTCCCTAAAAAAGTAATTAAAATTTAATTGGTAATTAAGAATTTTTTTATTAAATTTAACATCTGTCTTTTTAAGTGAAAAATATAGATACTTTGTAAATAATGTATCTAGTTAATAATTAGAAATGACTATAGTAATTTTGTATATTTCAAAATGGGGATCCAGAACAACTACTAGTAAGTGCAATTAAAATTACATTTATATACATTTAGAAATATTTCCAATAAACCTGTAGATCCTTTTGTTTATATACGGGTAGTTACAACTAAAATTATTTATTTTATCAGAGTCCTAAAATTTACATATACTAAAATTCTAAATTTAAGAGGTCTTCATATATACATCTTATAGTTGATATCACGAATAAGCAATACAAAAAATTGTATTCTTTGAATTTAAGGTTTTTATTTATTCTTTTTATTCCTCCTTTTCTTAATATAGGCAAAGTGCCTTGTTCTAACTGGAAATTAGTCCTGATCTTAGATGAATTGCTACCAAATTATTTTACTAAATTAAATACTTCTAAACCCTTCTATTCTCTAAATTTAATTGTATTATTATTTTCTTTAAACATTACTTCTTCATCTTCAATATTACTCTCATAATTAAAAATCTATAATTCATATTAAGGTAATGCTTTTCCCTCTTTGTCATTATATTTAGTCAGGTATTAAAAAAAAAATGAGACAAAACAGGATGATGAGAATCATTGTGGTAGGAAAGAAAATACAAATGAGCAAAACTATTATGACAATAAAATTTCAGATTATTATGAGTGATTTTAGTTGGAGCATCCCGTATATACAAATAAAAATATATAATTACCTTAACCTAACTTTTTTCTACCGGCTTATCGGATAATGGCTATTTAAATATATATTCTTTAATCATATACATCATCCTACCATATTTACAAGAAGTTTTCAGTGCGGGAAATATTGTTTTGCAGATTCTTCGAATTTACACACAATCACATTTACAACATAATATATTTTTTTGCGAAAAAGTTGAATAGAGGTGATTTTTCTTTTGGTTTTACTTTTTGGTTCAAAATTACTTTACGGCAAATCTTTGCTTCTGCTTCTTGACGAATTCTAATGCTGTTCGGTCTCCGAAACGGGATTCCAAGATTTGTAAAATCGGATGATCTGAAAAAGAAATTACGATTATTGAGAACACTTTGTGGAATTAATCTTTCAAAGACGAAAAAATAAAAAAAAACAAACTCGTGAGCTTTGAAATATAGCTTTATTATTTAGTATATTTAAAAAATACAACTTAACTATTTAACACTAAAGCGAAAAATTACAATAGCTGTAATTTATTGCCCGCCAAGATACAACCAAATAAATAAAATAATTAATGTACTCAAAAAACTAGATAATACATCTATATTTAGTGGAGATTACAATTTCAAAAATACCATTTGAGGCATCAGTATTAACTACACTCAAAGAAAAAAAAATTCCACGGAGCAACAGCAACAAATTTAATATCGAAAAATCGCAAATCAAAATTTGACAAATTAGTATATCTGATAAATAGTGGCTGAAATAATTTGAAAACTCGAAAATAAATCTCAAAAATCCCCCTACGAATTATTAAAACCATCCCCGAACCCCAAAGGTTAAAACAAATACTTGGAGATTTGAAAAAAGCCTGTCGTCACTAGGATTCGAACCCAGATATCGGACCAAGCGCGAAGATTACAATTCCAAAAATACCATTTGTGGTTCAGTATCAACTGAACTCAAAGAAAAAAATTGCACGGAGCTGCAGCAGAACTATACCGACATATTGACCTACCGATATAAATAAGATTCTAAACCTATTGGATTTCTTCATTCTGAGAAAAATTTTACCAAACTATACATAAGTAGAAGTAAATTTTGATGTGAATTCAGACCATTCTGCAGTAATTCTTACTCTAAGTAATAAAGCTGGTCAAGAAAAAACAAATCGAAAAACCAATTGAGGTTTTTAATCAGCTAGATCAAGAACTGGAAAAGTTTATAGTGAAAATTCAGCAAGCTGCATGGAGGAACACCTCAATAGTAAGAAGAATATGTAAAACTCTATCTCGGTCTTTTGATGGAAGAACAATATTCATTAATTAAAAAAAAACACTTTACTATGGAACACAGAAAATACAAATAATCCCTATACAACGAATATTAAAACACGTCATTGACATGAAAAAAGTAAGACAATCATCTCTGTCCGCCATCCCCAAGTCTACTCTACTGCCCGTCATTACTCGTTCCAGCTCCTCGCCCGCGCCTCCTCGTTTTACTCCGCACTACGTACGTACCTCACAGATTCCGAGTCAGCGTACACTCACGTTAGCGCTTCGTGGTACAACCTTAGCAGGCCAGAAGTATCTTAGCCTATCTCATCCCCAAGAGATTGTTCCAATTATCGGTTCTTCTACTGCCCAATTCTTTTTTAATCTCTCCTATTGTTACTGCTGATACCGCAGAACGGCTAAGGTCCCATAAAGGGTGTTTGAGTCCCTTTCCTTGCTAGACTATCTGAAATCTTGTTACCCTGTACCCCGTTATGTTCCGGGACCCAAGTGAGAGTAACTAATTTTCTCGCCTAGCTCATTCAATTGTTCTAGGCATCTCCGGACCATTTTTGAGCTGATTACGTAAGAGCTCAGCGCTTTGACGGCTGCTTGGCTATCTCTTGTCTACGATAGTACCTCTTGATATTAAACTGGATACACTTCTCGATGGCGTAAATTTCCGCCTTGGGTATTTTCCCAAGCTTTCGGCGTGCTTGGTTCTCGGCCCATACACTTCTCTTCCAGTTGCTTCTATGGTTTTGGAACCATCCGTGTACCACTGAACAGCATACATTTCGGTTGCAAACGCGATGGATTCTTCGCTCTATTCTTTCTTGCAGCCCAGCTCTGTGGTTTTGAAGTTTTTCACAAAACTGAACTTCTTTATCAATTCATCCTGGGGCATATCCAGGTATCTTTGGTCCTGAAGCAAGTAGACTTTCGTCTGATTACTCCGTTCCTGATCATTCTATATTGTGTCCTTTTTGCCACATTCTCTATCATTAAATGTAGAGGGGTGAGGTTTAAGATCACCTCCGTTGTGGCCGTAGGGCAGGTTCTCATTGCACCTGTGATGCAAACACAGGCTAGTCTTTGTGCTTTTGAGATATTAGCTCTCGTAGTGGCTAAACTAGTTCTGTTACTCTAGCCTATAGCCCCGTAAGTAATGATTGGTCTCACTATTGCGGTATACATCCATAGCAGTGTGTTTGGGTTACATCCCCATCATTTACCCGCAATGTTTCGCATACCATTAGGGCCTTTGTGGCCTTATTTACTACTTTCTTCTCATGTGTGTTCCAGAGAAGTTTGTTGTTAGGTTAGGCCTAGATATTTGACTTTATTTTTCCATTCTATATCTATCCTGTCTAATTTAAAGCCCCACTTCACGGCACCATCTTTTGGTATATTCTAGTCCTCCTTGGACTATATCACACAGGATATTTCTAAACTTGCCTCTAGCAAATATGACTATGTCGTCGGCATAACATTGACAGAGTATGCCTGCTTGTGGACATCCTCTGGTTGTGCAGATGAAGATGGTGTCCTGCCTATCTGTGTCTCTGCAGTTCTCGTAGATAGCAGCTGAGCTATCCATCTGGATGTGATATTACTTATCTACTTCTCTGTATGCAAGTGATCTTTTAACAGATTCGTGTGGTGTGTTGTCAAAAGCTCCTTCTATGTCTAGGAAGGCACACACGACCGTTTCTTTGTTTTTCAGTGCATCCTGGATTACGTCAGTCAGCTGTACCAGGACAGTTTCTGTAGATCTTCCTGCTAGGTACGCGTGCTAGCTGTGGTGGAGTGACGCTCTCTCCAGAACTTTCTGATATAATTATCAACAGCTTTCTCCATTGTTTTTAATACAAAGGATGTGAGGCTAATTGGTCGGAAGGATTTAGAATGTGTGGTATCCTTTTTCCCTACTTTTGGATTAAAAATGTTTCTGGCCCTTCTCCATGCTTCTGGTATATATTCCAGTTCCAGACTGCTCCAGGATAACTGGATTATTTGTGATAGTAATTCTTCCTGTGCCTGCTGAAGCAGGACAGGAAATATTCCATCCACACCTGGAAACTTAAACGGTTCAAAAGTGTTTACGGCCCACTTTAATCGATTTCTGCTGCATATGTGTTTTGCCACTACAGCGGCCTCTCTTTAGGGTCTGCTTACCTTGGTTGTGTACCTTATTAGAAAAGGTTTGCTTCCAGGAAAGTGAGTTTCGAGTAATAGGCGAGCTCTTTCCTCCTCACTCACCGTGAACCTTCCATTTGGTTTCTTTAATACCATAACTGTATCAACTCTCCCTTTTTCCAGGGCCCTCTGCAGTATCGCTGCCGCAGGTGTAGAGTTAATATCCTCGCAGAATTTTCTGAAATTTTCTGAAGCTGTTACGTTTAGCTTTCCTGATTTCTTTGTTGTAGGTAGTAAGTGCCTCGGTGTAGCTCTGCCAATCTCCGATGTGCTTGGCCATATTATAGAGCTTCCGCACTTCGGATCGCAAAATTGATAGATTATGGTTTCACCAAGGAGCATCCCTACTAGTTCTATTTCTTTGAATGGGGCAGCTTGATTCATATGCCTCAAGTATTGCCCCATTTATTTCTTCAAGATCGCTTTCCAGAGCAAGTGGGTGCCTGGGCCCCATTTTTGTCTGGATAGGCTAGTTACTCCTAATGAAGTTGCGAAACAAATTCAGAGCCATCAACCCATTACTAGAGAAATATTAAAGAAATTGCTAACGAAGGAAGGCTATCGTTAAATTGACAAACCTTATAAATGGAATATTTTTCCTTAAATATATGTATGCCAGATGCGTGGAAAATTGTTGAAGTTATCCTAATTTTCAAGCGGAAAACCTCCGCATGAAATGTTATCATATTGATCTTTATCATTGTTATCAATAATATCTTAGCTATTTTAAAAGATACTACTAAAACGACTAAAAACCAATAATTTAAAATCAAAATCTGATTCCTTCGCACCAATTTAGTTTTAGAAACAAATACTCGAGAATGGATAGCTGATTCAACTAAAAAGCATACGAAGAAGAATATACATGGCTCAGCTATATTGACGTGGTCCAAGAAATTGACAAGATTTAGCACGCTATTCAGATACAAAACTCCTAATTAATATGTCAACATTCTTAAATTATATTAAACGGGAAAAATGTTCCGTGTAACGCAAAGAGAAATCATACTCCAAAATGAAATAAATTGTAGCAAGTGTACTAGAACCAGTTTTTTACTTATTATATACCAGCCATATCCCTCAGCAACAATGTGTTGAAATAGCAACATTTGCGGATGGCACTGCAATGTTGACAGCTGGCCGAAATATTACAGATACCTCAGGAAATCTACAACAGAATTAATCGATGGACAAAAAAATAGAAAATAAAAATAAATGAAACTAAATCAGAGTATGTTGATTTTACTCTCTGGCAAAATGAACAAAAACTTAAATGGAAAGAGCACTTAAAAAGCGTCATATTAATTATGATTTCACTTCCTGGGTGTAGAATTTATTATTGTCCTGGTGATGGAATAGGAAAAAAAATACGAATGATGACGAGTTATATTATTGGATTATTTTTGCTTGACAATAAGTACTAAAGATAGCTTAATGCTGAAAGCGCTTTGCTAATTTAATTTAAATTTTTGCACGGAATAAAAGAAGTTTTTTTTACTGATTTTTAATTGTCAGTAATAAAACACTTGTATGAAGATTATTTTCGTGTTAAAATATAAAATACCTACATAGTATATATCCATTATTTAGACTATATTTGGAACTATATTGATAGACTAGTTACGATTTGTCATCCGACCCTCGTAATCGGTATAGATTTAAATAAAGTTTGGAGACATTGCAATCCCGTTTGCAGAATTGGAATATTCGGATTTTCGAGAGCATTAAAGTTCTCAAGTCACTGAGTTTGAATAGCTTCATTTTGCAAATCAGGATGTGCACATTCTAAATGGTGCACGAACATATAACAAACATGAAAATAAACCAATTAGGATAGAAGTTACTAGTTATATTAACTCTGTGCATAGGCGGAGGATTATTGGATACATTTAAATTTTGTTATCAGATTTGATACTGATTATTATTTTTTAATCAATAAAGGTTTTTCAGAACTATGTAAATGAAAGGAATAAATTCAAAGGCACGTTTTGGCAGATATTTCTTTTATTCGTGAAGCCATCTGTGTGAGCACGATCACGTCATCAATAATTTTTTAAAAGAAATGTGGCTCATGCAGTACATCTTTTGAAATGTCTTTTAATTATCTATCCAATTGTATTCAAGTTTAAGTTTACAATTAATATTCTTGTTTATTATATAAGACCAAATTCAAATCAAATTGACGACACTCAGCTATAACACAATGAGATAGATTTAGACCCAACAAACGACGAATTGCCTGGATATTGTTGGCATTTTGCTGTAATTAAAGGGAACATGAATGCGACGATTAAAAGATAAAAGCCCACTTTTGGCCTTTTAATAGCGGCCCAGCATTATGTATGCAAGGATGAAGATTGATGGATCGGCAACTGTTTTAGGTAAAAAATCAAATGGCGTTTAACTGTTATCATCTGCTAACAAGTTGGCTTTTCGTTGGAAAATAATCAGTAAAATCATTTTACTAGTTTTAGAAACGAAGAAATCTCAGGCCAGGATACATAACCTATAAATTTTTGTATGCTCGGGAAATTAGAGCATGTAAAAGTACATGTGTATATTTGACAGTTTTTAATGTCTGAAACTTGGAACTCATGCTCCACTAAAAATATAAATTTTCCGGAGAATAATAAGTATTTATTAACATAAGAGAAATAGTTATTTGCATCGGTTAATTAAATATTAATTAAAACGCGCGTAATGAGATACTAAATCTAGTCAATTTAGATGACTTAACTGCAACACAAACTGATGTGTCTATGCCCAGGAGTGCAGCATGGTTATAAAACATTTATAGAATATATTTTGTTATTTTCTAAAATATCAGAATGAAGATTACTCCTTTGATTTGGTCATTGGTCAGTGAATTAATTATTTTCCGGTATCAATATATTGTTAAAAACATTTTTTATTTTTGTACTTCGGAAGAAAGTTTGTTAAAAATGTTAGAAAGTTCAAACTGTTGTTTTCTCACCGTTTTGAAATAATTTTAATTCAAAATTGCTAATTTCATATACTTTAAATTGAAATAACATATGCCAATAATCTTGAAAATTATGCCTTCTTTTAGAATTTTTTTTTAATCCTGTTTAATCCTAGTTTAAACATTGTGCAGTTTGAAAAGGGTCAACATATAAAGAGCACCCGGTATTTCAAAAAGCCTATTAATGAAGACATAAAATGTTTAATCATTACAACATTATTCCGTTTAGTCAGTAGTTTTCCACGAGAAAATCTCCTCCCTCTACTGCGACTTTGTATTTCGTTTGCCCTAGTTTGCGAGTGTGTGTGCCTGATGGTCTCGAATAATTAGGTAAGCGGCAAGCAGCTCTGCAAACAAAAACCTGCTGCAAAAACTTTAAAATCCATTTGTTGAGACTCAATTTGGAAGAGAGTATTTGACACCAGGTTTTGAGTTACTAAACTAAATGAAGGTACATAAAATTGATGAGAGGAAAAAATCGTATAATAAATAGAACGGTACGGCGGGTAGTAGATATTCATGACTTTAAGTACGTGATGGATTGTTTTGATTTAACTTGTAGCGGTTTCCATTTAATGCTTTAGAATTATTTGCTTCCAGAGTGTTCGAAAATATTGCAACACGATGACCTTTTTTTACTCTTCCCTTGTCTTTTGATCTACAAGCTGCTGTATTTATATTTTTGAACGACGATTTAATTTAGAAGTGATTTAGGCGATAATTTACATGATGTTTTTGATGATGATTTCGGAAATTTCGAGAAAATTTGTAGTGATGTGATTTCGAGTATTTCGAAAGTGGTTCTCCCCTCGGCTATTGGTATTTGTATATTGTAAAAGAAATGGTCGAGCGAGTGTTTAGGTGTACTTTTCAGAGTACACAAGATAGTGGACAAGACAAAAATAATGTAAAATAGAAAATAGTTATTATAAAACAATAAAAACGGCTACGCCCATAGAGTCGCAACTAGTCCTAATAACACAACATACACATTAGCATTCTACCCCACTCTACTTCATTGGGTGGTACCCCTGCACTTTCATCTCATCAATAGTAACACTTTTTGAGTTACCCCGTTGTTGCAGAACTATTTAGTTTTTCCTTCGTGGCACATTTCATATTATGCCAGTGTTGAATAAATATTTCTTCTTTAGTTATATAGTAATTTAGATGCTTGAGGCAATACTACTGGCTTTTGTATACATTTTGTATAAACTTTTAACATTTTTCTATAAACTTTATTTTTGTATTTTTACGTTATCTCTGATTATTATTTATTTAAACAATTTATAGCTCATAATAAACGCTTTATTTATGTCCCCACAGTAATAAAAATTTGATTTTTTGAGTTGTGCCTCTATAGTAGCGCATGAGCGATGTATCTGCTAATCTGAATGAGAGAAAGATGAACTTGTTGGGTTCAAAATAAATCAGTACAATATAAAGGTACCAACCAATTCGTAAAATAAATGCTATTCATTATTAATTGTTACTTACTTCTTTGATGTTGTTGCATGAGCACCAATTCTACAGGCTTCAGTCCATGGAAATTATCTACTCCAGATCCAGTGTCGGCAACTCCGGGGATACTGCCCAGTGAGAGAAAAGCTTCACCAGCAAAGTCATTGGCAGTCAGGACATCATGGTCCATTACTGTAAAAGCTATCATGGTACCTGGATATCTGCATTGTTCCAACGAAACACTGAAACATTTATAACAAATGAAAAAAGCTATAATATTAACAGTTAAAAACAGCTTAAAAAATAGAGTGTTCTTGAAATACGTATAGATACAAAAATAGATTATTATTTAGGCTTTCATTCATTTTCCAGCGGTCTTGGAGCCTGATTTTGAATAAAATCTTAGTTTGCTTCTTCTGTTATTCTATTAGATTGTTGTTTAGCAAACCACACAATAAATTTACAGACCATTTAGGCTACTCAGTAGTAGCCACTGTTCTGCGGTTATAGTGTGTGGATTTTCTTGTGCACATGGTTTTCTTGTGTAAATGGTTGTTGTTTTCAACAATTATTAGATTAAGTTGTTTTACTAGTTAGCTTTTATCTACTTGTTTTATTCAGCTTGTTTACGAAATAAAATTAGATTTATATTTTTTAACTATATGAGTATTATGTTTATAATTAAATCTTTCTCTTAAACTAATTTTTGTTAAATCGTAATGATCTTTGTTCCCTAATTGCCTTATTTTCATTATACAGGGTAATTAAAAAACGGTTTATGAGATACATCACATCACGTGAATTAAATCCCTCGACGGTGCTACATTAACGTATATCCTCGTTATTGTTACTTGGATTAGAACGGGAAAAACGGCATTCAATGTAAAATGACATTTACATGTCATATACATAGAAAAACATACGTAGTACGAGTATTAAAACCAAATAGATCCAAGATCCAAGCTCATTTATATCTTTGTTATTAATTCAAATCAAACGGTACAAAAGCCATTCAATGTAAAATGTAAATTATATATCATTGACAACGAATAAACATACATGCTATCAATACCAAAAGAAACTAAGCTTAAATCTTCCTTATTATTGGTTTGATTCGAATGGGACAAACGGCATTTAGCGTAAAATGTCAAAAAACATATATAGTGTTAATATCAAATGGACCTAAGTCTACATTTTCATTATTATTCGTTCAATTCGAACAGGGAAAACGACATTCAACCTAAACTGTTAATTGAATAAAACATTTTAAACACGGATCTATCTAAGCGAGATAGTTGCATCTACTGTAAGCACGTATTTGTTTTTGTATAATTTTTTCTTCGCCAATTATTGACTAGATCAACTTTATAAACGTAGTTACTGATTTCCTACCTGCAGTAGGGAATCTATGCTACAAAGGACTTGTCTATAAAATATACATTTTCATGAGAGAATTTATTTTAAAAATAAAACCACTGCTTTGTACATCTACACAGATGCGGCACTCACGGCTTAAATACACTGATGGCCGGTCAAACTGAGTTCAAACGAAAGAGATCTGTTAGTAGATTACAAACTGACAGTTATTTACCTCAACCAAACTAAACACGTAGAAGTCAAACCCGAAAACTATTTCAATATTAACACTGCAATCGCGACCACCTTTGTGAGGAGTATGGTGGTTGTGTTTGCTGACTGCGGCCAACCTCAATGGCAATGTCAATAAATGCATCCTGGATTTTATCAATTGAAAGTTTAAAAGCGCTTTTATTAGAGAGCATCTACGTATGACTTCCGGACGGTGTTTTTAAACGACACATTTCAAAAAAAAAATAAATACAGCATGAATCTGTGTATAATTACGAGAATGAGCTTATCCACGATATTTTTTTTATCTGTTAGAACTTTTAAATAATCAAACTTCATTTTACAAGCGAAAAAGAGATGAAGATGTATGTGACAATTTTAGAAAACTAATAAAATGATTAGTTATTTACCACAATAAAATAAGAAAAAGATAACATAAATTAAACTCATACCTACCTATAAAAATAGTATTAATTTATATATATATTGTATATATTAAAATTATGTTTAATTCTAGTTATTTTTAAATACTACTTATTAGATTTTAAATGAACATGAATTAAATTAATATAACTGGAAATGTGATCTCTTTTCCCATTATACAATTGGATCTTTGTTGCCTTTACTAGGTCTTGCGCTGCCGACTGCAGGTTAAATTAGTTTTTTGGAATTGCGATTGATATGAATTGTGATGACAATGTTTGCGTTTAAAACGATGTTCTATACGTTTTTTTAAACCAAGGTTATATTCTATCATCATTGTTATATCTAGATATACAGCACAATATATAAATTAAAAAATGTTTAACAAAACCAATAAAATAACCGCTGTCACTGCCTGCTGGACCTGAAGTAGGCAGTGTCGCTTTATAATACTTAATTTTCAATGCATGCGAGTAAAATTGCGGCAATTCGTATTACACGTCTGCACACTAACGTCATTTCGATCAGTTGCAATTATTTTTGCCATTGTAGAAAATAACGAGGAATTGAAAATGTATTGCCGCAAGTCGTATTACAACTGCAATTTTGGGGAAAAAATGTCTGGAATAAGCACTGCCAATCAGTTTAAAAGTCCCTACGGTAGAATCTGCGATTTGCTAACGATTTATTTTCATTGTTGTTAGACGTTACCATGACAATGTGTCAATGCGCTAGTTCAGTGTGATGTCATTTTGGTTCCACTGACATTTAATTATAGCCAAACTTTTAACAAAAACATCAATTAATTTGACATATACGTTTTTACTGTTTTTAGTTTATTTCTAAATATTGTTTACAGGTCATAAAAAATATTTTAAAGGTATGTAATTGGTAACTAAACGATTGTATATTTGATGCATGTTATCTACTTACTTTAGGAATATATTTATAAAAGTGAAAAAACGATATAGGTAACTTAGGTAAACAAAACGAACAAAACGCACTCAAAAAATCTACTGTCACTTTAATTGTCAGTGGAACCATAATTACACACTGATCTGCATTATTTTACTGGATAGGATATAGCCCCCTAAAAAACGTTCCGAAAAATTGGCCGATTTGGGCAAATAATATGGCGGACCGGATGTTATTTAACATAACCTCTATTTCCATTTGTCATCACATTTGTCATTTAATTGTGTCAACAAGCTACGATGAGATGTTTTTATTGTGGAAAACAAAGTAAAAAGGGTATGAAATAAACAATAAACGTTCATTCCTAAAGACACAATATGCTTCACGTTTCCATTTTTATATTTTCTTTCATAAAAAATCAAATCATGGGTGAATTTTCCCGAAGTACATCGCCCGAAAAAGGAATAGAAGAAGAATAAGAAGAAAACTAATCAAATTATAGGTTAGGTATGTCAAATTATCCCAAATTTCAGTTCTGTGAACCCACCATAATTTGCCCAAATCGGCCAGCATTGTTGCACTTCCGGTCTCCTTGGTGGAACATTTTTTTAGTATGTTAAATATAGCCTATATCCTACCAGTAAAATAATACAGATCAGTGTAATTACATCATCACTGAACTAGCAGATTCTCAAAATTACAGTAGCGTGAATGATTTGGAATCGGTACAATAGTAGACAGTACCCAGTGGCGGCTCGTGGGCACTAGCGGCAGTGGGGCACACACTGGAAATGAATCCCGGGATTCGTTTTTCCCTTAGGAAAACAAGTTCTCCGCTTAATGAAAATAAAAAATATATTTCAAAACAAATTAAATATTACAAAATTGAAGACTAACTGCTAGGTACCGCTGCAGTTGTATACTATTTCTTACAGTTGAAGTCCATTCTTCTGGAATTTTGGCTAGCGAAGTGATCGATGACCAGATTATTAAAATTTGGAATGGTCCGAATAAGTTTTTTTTTATGGATAACATGGCTAACGCGCACAATCTGTCTTAGCACATAGTGTTCCTTAAAAATGTTTTAATATGTTTTAGTGTCGAAGAAGAAGATCTTTCACTCTCCACTGTGGTCATGGGAATAGTACATAGGATAGTTAGCAGCTCCACAGATTCCGAAAATGTAATTGTCAAATTGTTGTCAAAAAACATTTGTAATAACGGTATGGCCCCATTGTGTTACACAAAGTCATCTCGGGTGTAAAGTATGGACATTTCGTTTTTGAATTTTAAGCTGTTTACGTTTGGAAATAAACTACACACAGTTTTAACGTCCTCATTTGGAAAACAACCTCGGTTGTCTTTAAATTTTTCACTATCAAATAAACTTGCAATTGTTAGGTGAGTAGTAAAACTAAAACGTTCATTTAACTGCACTACTATTGTATCACAAATTTCCTTACATATCCTTAAATTAGGAATGGGGTCCTCCTTTTCAACAAACAGTCTCTTCTTGCTTGTACTTGGACCTGACTGGGTGTTGTCGTTTAAGTTTAGTTCTTATGGGTCTTGTTGTGATTGCCATTCTTCATGAATTAGCGTGTCTATATTATTTCTAATATTTTGAATAGCTGCTGCAAAATTTGATATGTTTATCTTAACCTTGAGAGCATCGAGCTGTCTACTTGATCAAAAAGTATATCGCAATTTGGGATTATTTTGCTGAAGAAAAATAACCAGAAACTAAAATCTGTCTTTCAAAATTTATCAACCCTTTAGTCTGAATAATAGTTTTTTTATCGAATTCTGTGTTCATAATTTCTTCGAGACATTTAATCAAATCCTCTTTATAAACATAAATAGTATTGACACACTTCAATGTAAAATTCCATCGTGTAGGAGCAATTTAAAGCATACGACTCTGAAGAAAAGGTGTTTGGCAATTTAAAATCTCTCAGCAAAAATTTTTTTTTTATATTTTCAAATTAGAAAAAATATTTATATCTCTATTTGATAGTTTGTCAACTAAGCCTGGAACTTCCAACGCATACCTTTTTGAGATGAGCAAAATAGAATTTGGTCATTCTTGCCAACAATTTGCGAAAATGTACACCATTAAATTATTTATAAGACTCAGAATTTTTTATACTCTTAAATATGCAAATATGCAAATCCTCGAAAAAGTCAGACAAAACCAAGAGAAAAATTAAAATTTTGTCCCAGTTATAAATATTATTGATTTTTTTTTTCATCATATTTTTGACTGCTTTATAAAAAAAAAGTTATTTTTCTTTGTAGTTTTATTTCCTAACTAATCCAAAGGTTCAACTAACGTTTTTTCATAATCACAATAAATAAATTATTATCATGGTCCACCAAACGCGCACCTTAAGGATAACGCCCCGCTTGTGACGTATAATCCATCGCATGTGTTCATCTCTTGCTAAGCGTTATTGCCGTTGTCCTTGTTTTTCGCATGAGAGAGAGAAAACAACAGAGGCACACATTTACTGTGCCCTGTGCCCACTTAATTTCGGAATTCTCGGAATGTCGCTCAACGCCCGGTCGTCCAGTGTAGTGCCAACGCGGTTTGCGCTGAATATTATATAAAATAATAATAGGCATTGAGGAAAATATAAAATATGTAAGTTTGTTTTTTTGGTTATTATAATAGGGCACGTGCCACGAGCAAACCGCCACTGTTAGTACCTATTTTGTTTTCATCCTGGCTCATCTCAAGCAGCCATAACAGATGCGTACATACACTTCTCTGTCCGAGTAGACTATACATTTATGGTGTTTGACATGTTTTGTGTTGAGTTACATGAACTAACTCACTGGAATATGAAAGGATTATAGAATTATCAATGATAAATGTTTTATTTAAGTATTAAATGGTATGCGTTCTCTACTATTCTTAGTACATAGACAAACCTGTTTCCTTATCTAAGTTGGTGTTCCTGTTTAGTAACTAAACTAATTTTTTGTAATGAATTGCGAAGTGTAGTACAGATATAAATCTATCTTGCTCTCAATAGGAATTACCGCCATTTTACTTGCAGCAGGAAAATTGCGAACAAGTAAAGCACCTCTTGAGGTTAAATAGACCTAGTTATAGCTGCAACCGTCGCGCTGATATGCTATACAAACATATTAAATGTATATTAATCTATAAATCTTACCTGAACTCAAAGCACTCATCGAAAATGGGATGAAGCGTCTTCTTGTGTACGTTGGTCTGTTGTTCGCTGCAGTGCGGGAACACGCGATGTGGCAACAGCTCGATTATCACGAAGGGATCGCTGAAGCCGTTCGGATCTAGCGGAATGATGTCTCTGGCATGTAAAACCTGCGGGAAAGGCGACAAAGAATTATTTAGATGTCTGCCGGCGATGGATAAAATTTGCTGAATATCCAAAGCATACAAGCAGGGATATGTTAAATAGATATAGGAAAATGGAATAGCGTTTTTAATTACTAAATTCAAGAGTCGATAAATTTGTAGTTCCTACAGTAATATAGAAGAAATGTCTGTGGTTTTATAGTTGACAAGCATGGCCATCTAGTGAAAGTAATTTCCTGTTCCTAAAAAATAAGCTCCATAAGAAATGCGTTGTATTTTAAATACTGATTTTATGTTGGAACAAAAAATTCTGAAAAGCCTGGAAGAAATAAACAACTAAAGTAAAAACCGCATATCGATTGAAGGTTTTGTTCGAGAATTATCGTGTAGACTCACATACGCACGCTTAGATGCACAGATGACATGCAAAAAAAGTGTGATAAAAATGTTAAAAAATGGAAGAAAGGACGTTTTTTCGTTCGGCCCGAGTGCAATATTGAGAGATCCTCATAGTTAGGAGGCTTCAGTAAAATGTAAGATTAGTTTTAGACTTAATAGGTATAAAAATGGTTGGTTTCTAATTGTTTTCTCGAAAATTTGTCTATATTTTTTTATTGTAAATAAAACCAACCAGTTGTTCCGTATGCTGCCACTGGACCAACAGTAATTAGTGCAAATGACACCTCTCTAAAATATCAACAAACTCAAAAAATATTAATAAAATCGATACAGCGTTTTTCAGAAATCAATAAAAACAATTTTTAAAGAAACTTTAACCCCTGTATATAAGACTTACGTTTGTGAATTGTTTTTTATTTTAACCAAAGAAATCTGACCTTAAATTTCCGTACAAAATAATTGTACTGTATAATTGTATATTAAACGTGGCTTGGTGACGCTTGAGTAAATTTAAATTAACCGACAAGGTTATACTGGAAAACTGAAAGCTGCGCTGGTTTCTTGGCTTGTTTACATATAATATTATCTAAAAAGTGCTTAGCATTATTGTTAAAATAATAAATGTTGCAGAAGCATTAGATTTAAAGAAATTCCATTTTTATAAAATTCACGAAAAAAATCTTTCGTGATCGAAAAACTTACTATACTCAAGTCAATATAAGGAATAGATGAAGTCGAATGTTGGTTTTACAACCAAATTATTTTTTAAATTTATTAGAATAATAAATCAATCTAACTATTTCAAAATTCCTTTAATCATCATCTCTAATATTATGGTTACAATTTATTACAATATACTTTTAACAATAATTTAAAATACACTTCTGCCCCCGTATTTAACGACAATATTGTAACGTTTGTTTAATTTATTTAAAACACTTTATTTATAATTTATGTATAACGTACTAATTAATTTATATAATACTTAGGCACTAACTCACAATTCTAATTTTTTTATTACAATTTGTCTTTTCTGTTCAACACTTCATTTGAATCTGCACGTTCGTCGACAACTCGCGCTATTTATACAAAGCCAGATCTGTACCAGTAGTTTCTAGACGATCTCGAATGTCCGAGAATTCCATCTCTATGACTCAACGGCCACGTACCGCTTTTTCGGGTAGTTTGGAGAAGCGGTGCGTTTGTATCTATATGGCCAGCGCTAGACTTCATAACGCGAGCAAAGTACAGAGACGGCTCCGCGTCACAATATATAGTCGTTAATTCCGATTTCTAAAAATTCAATTGGACATAATTTTATTAAATGCCCTTTTACTTGAACATCGAGCATCTTGGCCTGGATATGTATTTAAGATTTTTCCCAATGGTCAATTATTTCTAGGGAGTTTTTGTCCATAACAGTGACTTAATCTTTTTTTAGGTTTTTTGTCTCTTCGTTGGATCTTCGAACCAAAGTTGGTACGTTTTCTCGTATTTTAAAAATATTCTGCTCGAAGATAAAATTGACTCTCGAAATAGAAAGCGAAAGGTGTTTGAATTTTCTGGTCCTCTCTGTATACAGATATGGGAACAAATTCGAATTTGGTATCGGTGATCCATTTAGTACTCTAGGATTTTAAATGAAATAAAACATAACAAAATTGTTCATTAGCAAAAAAATCGTTATTATTTAAAAGAGCATTTAATTACAATTATGTTTTCAAAATAATAGCATTCCAATGTCCACCAATTTATTATGACGTTTTCGTATGTTTGGGCCGATATTTCACGAATAAAATTTCTATTTCTCATGTTTTCAAATCGTCTATAGTTCTTGGATTGTTAGCATAGACCTTCGACTTTATGAATCTCACGGGAAATTGTGAAAACTGCTCTTGCAATAACGTGCTATGGATACTTTATTTAGCTTTTAACCTCGTATAATAATGACTTACTTGTCTATTGTCTGGAATAATTCGCGATATAAATAATTACCGTAGATTACCTAACAAGTTGTACAACATAAAATCTGATACAAAATGTGTATACCAAAAAGTTTCATAGAAATGAAAAAAAGTTTATCTTACATTTCACATAAAAAATTTCTTGTTAAAAAGTTTTCATCACTTTTATCCATAATCAGGCATCAAAAATTTCTAATACACACATAATTCATTGGAGAAAAGAGTAAATTGAAATTACGATAAATATAAATTTTTCGTTTGAAATTTTAATTTTAGGTCGATAAAAAACTTTTTACAGCGTCCATTTAAAATTAATTTCAAATAATTTTTCTTATAAATCACTATTGATAAAATCCCAATTACGCACGTATTATTAACCATTTAATACCTATATGTATATAGAATACGTTATAATTAACTTTTTAACTATCTAGAAATCTGATGTTTAAATTTAAAGTTACGATAAGCAATTAAAAATTACAAATGAGCAACAAGTAAATTGCTCAAGAGGGCTCGAGAGAAAAAAGAAATTTTCGTCGAAAGATGACATTCTCTTGTCTCGTCTCGAATTTGTTTTCGAGAGACAATTTGAAATCTTTTCATCAATTTTAACACCAAAAACTTTAACTTAGTAAATTTTCATGAAGATGTTGAAATCACGCACGAAAGAGATGTTAACAACTTATGTCTCAGCACTCAAGTCAGCCTAAACAGAAACTTCATACCACTTCATAGATAACTTAGTTAACCCTCAATGATCATCAGAGTCCGAGTCGGTCAATCAAGCTTTTGAGAGTCATCTTCTACTAACTTTATGTTTACTCATCAGAGCCTACCTGTGGAAACATGGTATTTTTCTTTGCATTTTTCCTTTTTTTGTCTCGTCTTAACCTTTAGTACTCTTGTTAAGTGATAGCAGAGACAACAGAGACGTGTAACTTAATAGGAAAATTTGTTCGGGGGGAATGTTTATTTTCTCATATTATTTTTTGCATGAAGCAATTTCTGGAACCAAATTTCCGTTTTTGTACACGTTTCTTTCTAGAGGTAAGTAATTTCCAATTTATTAAGAAAACCACTGTATATTGTGTGTGTTTAATAATATATTACAAAATGGCTATAATTATTTTAGGTGAATTGGAACAGAGATCCATTGTTACAGCTACTTTTGTTCATTAAGTAGGTAGATGAATGTATCGACAGCTTTAATGGCAGCACAAAGTTCCCTCCTACTAGAAAAGAAGTAAAATGTATACTGAATAAAAAATCTTTGCACATGTAGTATTGGACATCAGGTCGGTTTTAGATTTTAGAGAGAGATCAATCTCAAGAAAAGTTAATTTATTCTGCAGAACAATCAGTAGTTTAAGTAGGATTTGCTATAACTTTATTAGAAGATTTCCTTGATAATAAATTGTAATATACCAATTGTTTCAAATAAAATTTAAAAAGAGTTAAATTCGAAATTAGATTTTTCCTGGGTAAAATGTTATATTCATTCAAACATCGTACGGTAATCTAGGTGTACCCTGGTAAGGGACAACGACAACAAAATTACAAAAATGTATTTATCTTTAAATAGTGTTTATTACTAATATTATTTTTTTGCTATGTTTGAAAAGTACCTCTTGCTTCAGAGCAGATCGAATAGATTAGATGACTAGTTGGAGAAGGTCCACCTAGTCACCAAATTAGGATACTAGGAAAACTTTTACATGACTGGGGACACAACAGGAATGCATATGCACAAGATACACAAACAGATGACATAACAGGGGTAAGCCTTCAGCAACGTCCTGTTTAAATGATGATAGTATGTCATCCTTCATTCCCTTTTAGAAGGCATGGCATATAAATCTATTGACCTTGATGACCCTAAGAGGAGTTAGCAGGGTTTGTACGGAATGGGTCCAGCAGGTCTTGATCCAGTTTACAGGATGGGAACTTACTCGACTCGGGCCTTTGTGTGAGTGTGTTTGTTTCGTTTCCATGCTTTCTTTTAAAATAAACAGTCATAATATATCGATACCTTTTTGCCAGACTAATGTAAGCGACATTTGTCGATATACTCTATACTTTATAAAATATTTGTTACATTATTTTTTAAATTTATTATGAATATATAACAACTGTGACTTTTTTTGTAATTTGTCACAAAATAATACGAGGTACTTTCTAAACGTAGCAATTGTAGTTTATTTTTATGTACCTTCCAAAAATATAATTTATAGAAAAAGAGTTTGGTGTATTATTTTTCCAAGTTTAAATATTTAATAATGAATAGAATTTTCAAGTTTTTTTTTAGCAAAATTTACAAGAGTAATAAAAACTATGTTCAATGCTTATATTAAACTGAATAAAACTTCCTTTATTAAAATCATTATTTATATGATAAAAAATATGTTATTGGAAGCTTTTATATTTTTTAATATACAGTGAAACAATAGTTTTTGTTTCTCCTGTAAATTTGTATAGGAAAACTATTTATTTCTGAATCCATGTTTGGATTTCCCGCGCTAAAGAATTTTTAATTTTCTTGCTATTTACTTGTGGCGCCATCATAGACTGATTGTGGTTACAATCGCCCAAACAACTTTTACCGAACAAGAAAAATACCTTGAGTTACACGTCTGGCTGGGTTGT